GAGTGTGAGGATAGGCAAGACACCTAAAAAATTAGCTAGATTTGTTGCCCTTAATGCAGAGAAACTAAAGCAGATACCTTAAAAACAACTGAGGCCAATAGGAAAAGGGGACCAGGAACTAGAGAAAAGGTTAGATCAAAAAGAATTAACCTAGAAGGTAACACATGCACAGGAAATTAATGTGAGTCCTTATCTCAACCAGCAAAAACCCTTGTTCCTTCCTATTATTGCTTATACTCTCTCTTCAACAAAATTAGAGATAAGGGCAAAATAGTTTCTGCTGGGTATTGGGGGGGGAGAGGGAGGGGGCGGAGTGGGTGGTAAGGGAGGGGTTGGGGGCAGTGGGGAGAATGACCCAAGCTTTGTATGCACATATGAATAATAAAACAATTAAATAAATAAATAAATAAATAAAAATGCTTACTCATACTGTTTGCCATATATAAGGTGATATTTACAGATTCAGAAATTAGAATGTAGATAATTCAGCCTCCCACAGATCCTATCAGGATGTCCAGATGTTTTAGTCCCTTATGAAGGGGTAAGCCACTCTATTTATTCTTCTTCACAAATGCCTTGATTATTTTTGGACCTTTGATTTTTACATTTAAATTTTGGCATCAATCCACTAAATTCCACAACATTTTATTGCCTTTTGTTTACCAGTAACTTAAATTTTTAGACATAGATCAGCTGGAAGAAAATTGGCACCTTTATGATATTGAGTCTTTCTTTTTAAAAATACTGTATAGTCTGGTTCTCCATTTATTTGTATATTTGTTAATTTCTTTATATAAAGTTTTACAGTTTTAGCCTTGGAGGTCTTAAGTATATTTTGTTGATTTATTTTTAGTATATTTATATTTTGGTTTCTATTATAAGCATTATCTTAAAAAATCAAAATTTTCTGATTGTTGCTGAGTAGAAATGCAGCTGACTTGGTATACTGATTTGGTAACCCTCATTCTTAGTGTTTATTAATTTTTAAAATGTATTTATCCCTTTGGATTTTCCAGGTAGACAGTTTTACAATATGTAACTAATGGCAGTTTGCTTTTCTTATCATTATTCTCTCCCCTATTTTTCTTATCTTACTGCATAGGAATAAATGTAATATCAAACATCTAAGATATCTTAGCTGATATCTTAGTTTGGGCTGCTATTACAACAAAATACCATGAGCAGGTGGTTTATGAACAACAGAAATTTATTCTGCACAGTTCTGGAATCCAGGAAGTCCAACATCAAGGTACCAGAAGATGTGACGTCTGATGAGGTCCATCTCTCATAAGCACCTTCATGCTGAGTCCTCACTTGGTGAAAGGGGCAGACACTGGTCTCTTTTATATGGACACTAATCCCATTCATGAGGGCTCTGCTCTCATTATCTGATCATCTTCCAAAGGCCCCACCTCTGAGTACCACCACCACATTGGGGATTAGGATTTCAACATGTGAATTGAGTGGGGAAGGACACACAAACAGACCGTGGGGTATGGCAAGTTTTCCAAGTCCATGGTTTGCATTTTCTGGCATTTAATGCATGGAATCCATTGCATTCATGGATTTCAGGCTCATTAAAGAGGTCTGCAGTACATCTCTTTGCTTTCTCCTGTGTGGAACCAGGACACTGTAACCACAGCAAGAAACTGCTTTATTTTTTTAATAGTTTAATATTTTTCTCCTTTAATAAGGAATCTGTTCTTGAAGCTTACTAGCTCCTTGATGCTTGTCCTTGCTGCCTTTTGCCAAAAAAAAGAGAAAGAAAATAATTTTCTTAGAAAATCTTGCAGAAAAATAGCATTTATAATGTGACCTTAAATTTACATGAACTCTTAGAAATGCAAGGCTAGTGTTACTTGTACTGTCCTTATGTCCTGGGTGAGGGAAGTGGCTAGCAACAAATAACACCAGCTCCCTTGAAGTAATTAATAGTGTCCAAAGAAATGTCACCCACTGCTTTGTTGCAACATATCTCCCCTTTTTAAAGGAAGTGAAGGTAACAGATGCAGAAATTTTTCAGCCTGACAGTTATAAATAGTCCTGCAATTTATCCCATGATATTTTTGCAGTTCTCTTTCTTTGCCATTCTAAAAGTTGGATCTCAATCAAAGTACATTTCTTTGGACCAAGGAGTATAAATTATTGTGAATAGATTAGAAATCTAAAATAATGTTTGAACCTTCTGAAAGTTTTACTTATATTCTAGAGTATTGTCAGCAGTTAACACCTGATCTTTAGAGAAACCTCTTTTCCAAGGATCAGATAGAGTGGGAGAACATCCAAATAAATAAGCTGTCCTAAATAGTGTTACGATTGATCAGTCTTGTTTCTTGTAATCAAAGTAATAGTTCAATAGCCACTATGATGCCAAGTACTGGAGGAGACGAAGAGCCAGTATTCCTGTCTTTAAAAGGTTAGTTGTAGGGAAAAAGCATTAAAGATACAAAAGCAGTAGAATGTAAAATGTCACAAGTCATTATAATGATGACAATAACTTAGAACTATCACTTGGTTTTTCAAGTGTATTTGCTGTAATATTGAAACTTACATCTAACAGAGCATCAAAAGTATTTTCAATATCCAAAATGTTGCACACAGAGCAAGCAAACCCTTTTTCCTTAAGGAACTTGAAATTTAAATGGTAGAAATTTAAGGAAAATTATCAAACTACCAAGTATTTTCAAGAATGGTAATATCCACACTGCTGGGGAGGATGTGAAGAGACAGGAACCCATAAATACTATTGACGTTTGAGCATCATTAGTATAGCCATCCTGGAGGACAGTCAGCTGCAGCTATCAAAATGTCAAATGTGAGTCTGTCTTAGAAATTCTAGTTCCAATAATTGTGGACTGGGTGGTTTGGATCAATTCTTTATCTCTTGGCCTAAGAACAACTAGAAAAGCAAGGCAAAATATTTTAAAATCTGTTTTGAAGGAAAAAGAAACCTACAAGGCCAGTGAAAAAGAAGATTCAGAAGAAGAAAATCAAGACCATCAAACTTATCCTTAAAGATACTGCCTTTCTTGTAGAAACCAAAGGCTGAAAAGTGAAGTAATATCAGGGAAGAAAACACAGATGTTCATGGGGTGTCCAAGGAGGAAGGGCTCTGACAACCAAGGCTATATGGGGGGACCCAGAGAGGTAGGATGTGGAAATGGACCAACCTCCACAAAGACTGAAATTCAGCTTTAAATCATTCTCCCTTACCAATTTGATTAAGATACTTCCTCTTCATTGAGGTACTAGAAGATAATTAATCCCTGATATTCTAAGATATCTATTGTTTATGAGGAATTAACTCTTCTATTTTATATCTAGGGTGATACTAGCTCCATACTCAAATGATTTGCTTCAGATCTTAATTCTCTACCGAAATTTTAGTTGAGTGCAGTTAAATTAGGTTTTCTGGAATTGTAAATGCCCCCTAGTCATCAGTCAGAAGCTGAAAGAGGTTATCTTCTTAGGGCTTCAATTATCTCTATTGATTTTATATACAAAGATCAGCAATCAGTCAGCAAATAATCAAACCAATGAGGAGATAAGGCAATCTGATAGAAAACAAACTAAAGACCCCAATAATAATGAAATAAAGGATTCAGATAATAAAATTATCAGACACCTTTTTTTTTGGTGGTACTGGGGTTTGAACTCAGGGTCTTGTGCTTGCTGAAGAGGCTATACTAGGGCTTGAACTCAGAGCCTACACCTTGAGCCACTCCACTAGCCCCTTTTTTGTGATGGAATTTTTTAAGATAGGGTCTCATGAACTTTTTGCCCAGGCTGGCTTCAAACCATAATCCTCCTGATCTCTGCCTCCTGAGTAGCTAGGATTACAGGTGTGTGCCTCTAGCGCCCAGGTGCTTAGTTCGTTTTTCATGTAGGATCATGCACTAATTTAGGCATGAGCCACCAGCACCTGGCTGGATTTTAAAACTATTTTTGTCAGTCAAAATTAAACAGAGATATGGTATTAAAATCTGCTGGAAAGTCTAAAACTAAAAAATTATAAAACAAATTAAGAACTACTCAGCGGGTAAATTTAATAGCCCACTAGATGAAGCCAGAGAGAGATTTTGTAAAGTGGAAATTGGATAAGTCAAATGAAAATACTGAAAGCATGTAGAGACAAAACCCAGCAAAGGCTGTGTGTGTATGTGGGGAGAGAGAGAGAGAGAGAGAGAGAGAGAGAGAGAGAGGAGAGAGAGAGAAAGGAAAGCAGTATTTCAGTATCTGAAGAGGTGACTAAAAAAAATTCCAAAACTGATAACTGGCATTTGCTAAATTATTTTTTCTTAATTTTTTAATTGACATAAAATGATTGTGCATATGTGTGGGGCACAGTGTGGTATTTTGATATATATATACAATGTGTGATGATCAAATCAGCATAATTAATATATCCATCACAACAGACATTATTTCTTTGTGTTGAGAACATTCAAAATCCTCTTCTAGTATTTTGAAATATACAATAAATTTTTGTTAACTCTAGTCATCCTACTGTGAAATGGAACACTAGAACTTAATCCTCCTATCTAGCTGATTTAGGGGTACAGTGTTGGGGTTCAAACCCAGGGTCTTCTGCATGGTAAGCAAGTGTTGTACTACTGAACTACACCCACCTCACCTATCTCTATCCTCCCTCCTCCCAACCCCTCCCTGCCGGCCACGTCTATAAGCTCAACTTTTTCTTAGCTTCTCTGAATGAATAAGAAAATGCAGTACTTGTCTTTCTGTGCCTGGAGGTAAAATTTTTTAATTGCCTTTTTTTGTGTGTGTCTGCAAAAATGTCAGCCTAAATTGCAGTATAGGATGTCCCTTAAAGGTAAGAAAGGGACAGCATTCCTATTTCCTAAAGACAAGATAAACTTTCTGTATTGCCTAAATTCCAGTTTTCCTCAGCATTGCAAGGAATTGTTTAAGAATCTTGAATGTTTACCTTGGTAATAAGTTGTAGGTAATTTGGGGTAATAAATACTGAATTGTTTTTGTAGGCCGAGAGATCCGTCTGCCCCTCCGAATCAGAGGGGAAGGAATGGGACCTAAGATTCATTTCAACTTTGAATTGCTGGACATTGGGAAAGTTTTCATTGGATCTGCCCATTGTTATGAGGTGAGCACTAGGATTGTTCATTGAGGCTCCTAACAGTACTTGACTTTTTAAATTTGCTTTATTTTGTGTCTTTATTTGATAGGAAATTTGTACAGTTGCATCTGTTTGCCATTTCTCATCCTTAGTCAGACTCCAAAATGCTGACTGCCCCAGGGAGCAACTTTTCTCATCCTCATTAGTCCCCTTTAACTGTACTAAAAGCTAAAAAAGCATCAGTCATAATTTAATTGGCTTTATCTTCCTCATTTTGTAGATTACAAAGAGGAAAACCATAAATACATCTCCCATCTGTTTAGTGCTTATTCTCTGACAACATAAATCCTACAGATCAGAGCAGAGAGAATTCCTTACATTTTCTAGAATGTCCTAATGAGGATAGCTGTTTTCACACTTCAGAATTCTCTCTAAATGCCCTAATCTCCAGTCCATGTTTTAAAAACTGGTCATCACAGGTTGTGGAGGAGACCTCCTTACTTGGTCTTCCCAATTAAACAGAAAGTGGAATTTTACAGAATGGACTCATGGGTTCCCCAGGGTCAAAGTTACTCCAATGTCACCTCATTGCTAGCTTTGTATCTAGGGCACATTTTTACACTATATCAAATTGTACCATTGAAGATTTGTTTTAGAATGTTCCTAAGTTGTGTATGCTTGTATTTTTTATAAAGCTAACAAAGACAATTATTTAATGAGTGACAAGTAACTGTCTGGTCCCATGTTTTAGTGTGTCTGCATGTCTGAGTGTATGCACATGTATGTGCACATGCAATTTCTAATCCTTACAAAACAGTGGAAAGTAGGTTTTATTCTACCTATTTTGCAATAAGAAATATGAGGCATATGTGATTAATACCCTCAACAATATCTCCTTGAATGTGTGTTGAGACAGTGCTAATGGTTCTATATGCATTTGTTCATTTAGTCCTCACAGAAACCCTACAGAGCAGGTTTTATAACTGAGTAAACTGAGCCTCAGGGAAATTTTACTAGTTAAGGTAATACTAGATAAAGTCCAGAGCCAAGGCTCAGCAAATGCACTCCTCCCCCAGAAAATCTGGAAGCCAGGCTTCTTCCATCTTCTGCTCAGCCACTCCTGCCATATGCCCACAAGATTGTGACTTCAACCTGTATCTCACTGGCAGAAAGGGAAAGAACATATGAGAATGTACATGAGATTTTAAGGAGGTGGCACTGGAGGTAGCACATTGCATTGTCATTCACATTCCATTATCTGTATGTGATTGCAAGAGAGGGGATGTACAGTCAGTATAGAAGAGGAAATGTATAATCCCAACTACTTGGGAAGCAAAGATTCAGAAGATCACAGTTCCAGGACAGTCTGGGCAAAAAAAATTGCAAGCTCCATCTTGAAAAAAAAATGGGCATAGTAGTGTGCACTTGCTATCCCATCATTGATGGGAAGCGTGAATAGGAGGATCATGATCCAGACCAGCCTGAGCAAAAGCCAGACCCCATCTCCAAAATAACCAGCGCAAAATGGGCTGGAGGTGAGGCTTAAGTGGTAGGGCACCTGCCTAGCAAGAGAAACACTGAGTCCAAACCCCAATACCAACTCCCAAAAAGAGGAGGTTTTTTTTGCACCTCTCACTGCCAGCTTATAAATGTTGGGGCACTGGGTTACTGGCACCTTCTATCTTGTTGTAGGAATAGAAGGCCTTTTGCTGGCATTCCTGTCCTTCAGGCTGTTAGTATCCCACTCTTCCACTCTGAGCAAATCCAGCCTGCAACCAACCCAGCTCCTAACCCAGCCTAACCTGGCATGGAGACAATGTCCTTCCTCCCTACATTCACCAGGGTATCTATGACCTAAATAGGGTGATGCAAAACGTAAGCAGAGATGTTAACTTCATGAGGAAATTAAACACATTTTGAACATAGAAGTCAGTTGCGGGATTGTAAAAGCTGAAAAGCGACCCAGCTGTATTCTGCATTGTTTTGTGTTGCATTGGAGAGAAGAGTCCCTAAGGTAGAGGGGGAAAGGACAATAGTTCTTAATTGATACTCTTTCTATAATTTATCCTGGGTAAATTTCTCTCGCATCCTGCAGATCATACATTATAGATGCCACATCCAGAAAAGGACCTGTAGTTCTCATGCAAAATGGGTAGGATTTCCCTCAGTGTTAACTAACTCCTTACAAATTTAATAGAAGTATACTTTAGGTCACCACTTCCCATTCTAACAGATTTTAACAGTGAAGCAAAGTACAGCCAGCCAAAATGTTCAATGAGGTAATGCAGCAGATTGGGCAGTTTGGAGAGCTGAGAAGTGGCAGGGAAGGATATGGTAAGGTGCTTCTTATGGGGATATTTTGCATTCTCTGCATATTTAATTCTGATGCCTCATTGCATCTCTCGATTTATTACATTACCTATTTGAGACAAATTTGAATAACTAGCTATTGCCCTTAGTCATTGCTGAACTTAGCAGACACATAAAGAATAAACCATAACCCAAGAGAGACAGTATTCCCCAGTGTGATCAAGAAGGAAAACAAATGGGAGGTGACGTCCATTGTAAGTGTGCCCCTCCTTCAGGAGTTGGACCTCAAGACTAAGAACATGACCAGTACTCACAAGGCTTCAGAGTCAAGTCTCAAACTATTTGCTGGTGCTTCTTTGTCAGGTGGAAGAAAATGATACATATTCTTGAAGATGGAGGGACTGTCACTGTGCAAAATATCTGAAAAGGTAGTCCTGTTAAGCCAAAAACAAAACAAAAAAAGGCAAGGTGTGCATATTCCCAGAGTCCTCATGACCACTAATGCCTTTAAATGGATTTTGAGTTACCACTAGTGTATGTCAGTCACTCCTTAAGCACAAGTAAATACTATGCCCATTCTTCTTGACCCAAGGGATGTAAGTGGCAGTCATTGTCACCTATAACCACTATTTGCTGGGCACTATTCTAAAAATTACATAAATTGCTCATTTTAATCTTATACCAATATGGTGAACTTATTCAAAATATACTGTAGACATCTATGAAATTGTCACAATGAAATTCCCTTGTATCATTAATGATTCCTAAAACAATAACAGAAAAATAAATTAATGGTACAAATGGGGAAACTGAGTCACAGAGCAGTTAAGAAGATTGTCTAAAGTTATATAGCTAGTAAGTCAACAGTAAAGCTTGGATTTGAACCAAGGCAGTTTGGCTCCAGAGCACCTGGCTGTAATCACTTTTCTATGTGGTCTCCTTAAAAGGGATGCAGGGTGAAGCACAATTAAGGATACCCGGGAACTTAGAATCAGGAAGATGGGAGATAAGCATAAAACATGAGACAAGTAGCAAGCAGCCTTTATTTATGTATCTGTTTTTGTGCATTAGCCACCTTCCCTTGGCACAAGTGGCCATCATCCTCTGCAGAGGATGCAGAGGCTCTTTCTGCCCTACCTGTGCTCTTCTCAAGAGGCAGGCTGGTCCCCTGAACTCATTCTCCTCAATCACCAGACATATCCCATTCCCTTGATTTCCCAGCACCCAGCCCTTCTCTGCAGAGAACAGCAGGAATCACATGGTAGAGGTTTCCTTTTGGCAGGCACTGAGTGGTCATCAACTGATTTAATACAAACATAATCAGTCTCTTCTAAAATAGCTTCCCAGCCCTCTGCTTCTCCCATCCTCACTTTTTACCACTAATATTAAAATGGGAATCTAAAGAAGCCAACAACTACTTCCTCTATACCCCACTATCCCCAACCCCTGCATAGCTATACTCTGGATTCTGCAACCATTCCCCACTGCAGTCACTCTTCTTCAAGGTCGGGGCTGATCTCTAATTATAAATACAAGTCTGTAACTTTTCCCATAGATTATTCTGCTGACTGCTGTCCACATTTGACCACTCTGGGAATCCTGTTTCCTCAGCTTGCAGCATGCTCTGTCATCCCTCAGCATATTCTTGACATGCCCCACGTTTTTCTGCTAAACTTCTGAATATCTCTGTGTTCTTTGTCATACCATGCCTTGGGTGTAGGTTAAGGTGGTTCCTATGTAAATCTCAAGAGGATTCTGGTCACTCTTCTAGATGTCAAGACAGCATTGGCAAGGAATGGAGGCGATATCTTTGGAGCCAGGAATGAAGAAGAATGGCTGTGATGCAGGTTCATGCTCTGAAAGCCAGATGTGAGCTCATCACACTCAAAGCCTAGTGTGCAATCAAATATGGGCAGTAACTTTGTGTCAGAACATTAGCACAGAGGAATAAAAATGTTTCTTTAGTAAAGCTATTGCTTTACTAAAATAGTCAGGCACAGTGGCTCACACCTATATTCCTAGTAAATTGGGAGGATTAAAATTCAAGGCCAGCCTGGGCAAACAGTTTGCAAGACCCATCTCAACCAGTAAAAAAGCTGGGTATGGTGGCACATGCTTGACATTCCAACTATGTGGGAAGCTTAAATGGGAGGATTGCAATCCATCCTGACCTGGTCATAAAAGCAAGAATCTACTCAAAATTAACTAAAGCAAAAAGAGTGGGGAATGTGGCTCAAGTGGTAGAGTGCCTGCCTAACCCCAATACCATCAAAACAAACAAAAAACAAGAGTCCTCAAACAGTCATCCATCCAAAACAGTATAACATAAACAATGAACATATTTTAATAGGATGAAATCTAACGGCATAACAAAGAAAATGTTTGTCTTCTGGAGTCCACAGCAATGCCTCATTTACATTGTCCAGCTACACTATAAGTATATGTTAGGTAGTTCTTGTTCCTCTATTCTGATTTGCTTTTTATTTTTCAGTATATCACTTAACCTCAGCCATTTTATGCATATAAGAAAAATTTCTACCTTCGATTGGTTACTTTATAGAGAATGTTTTTAATGTATCTTAAGATCCATCTTTATAGCATGAATATAACATGAATGAGCAACTTACTTTTAAAGAAGACTCAAAAAATACATAATTACTTTTTGGCTTGGAAGGCTTACCTTTAAACATTCAAGATATTAGACTGTAGATTTCCTGCTGAGAGTTTTCCCTATGTTTCTAATTGCTCTGTGTTGATATTCAATAATACAGCCACATGTTTACATGAAAATGATCATGGGTCCATCCTTCCTTTTATTGATATAGGCAGTACTGTCCAACAAAGGCAGCATCGATGCCCTCTTCAATGTGATGCCTCCGTCTTCGGCCTTGGGGGCCTGCTTTGGTTTCAATCCCAAAGAAGGCATCATTGAACCAAGTGGAATCCAAGCTGTCCAGATCTCCTTCAGTTCTACCATCCTGGGACACTTTGAAGAAGAGTTCCTGATCAATGTCAATGGGTCACCCGAGCCTGTGAAACTCACCATTAGGTAAGGAATACTTATAATATTATAAATATTTTGCCTATTGCTTTTTTGAGCTTCAAAACTAGATCATGTCTTGGATGTTCCCAACTGTCTTTGTTGATGTGAATACTTCAGCATGAAAGGGATGTTAACTTTCCACCAATGTTTCCCTGCTGCGACTTATTGCAGTACAGATATAGATACTATTTGGGGATCTAGTTTGTCTATAGGTTATAACTTTACACAATAAGGATTTAAACAGTAACAATAGTTTGTAGTTACTCTCTGCGTTTAGAATGTTTGGAGAAGATGAGTTATAATAGTAAAACCTGAATGAAATTATCTTCTTGACTAAGCTTTGGCTATGATCACAGTTTCTAAATCTTTTATTTTGTTTTTATTTTAGGGAAATTCTTTAAATGATCCTACCTATAATGCCTCCAAGCATTGTAAAACAGTCTGGTTATAATGTCCATCAGCCAAAGGTAGACACTTGCAGCATTTGTGCTACAAGTCTTTCCTGCTTCTTATGATAATTGAGAGTCATTAATAGCAGAATTTGTCCTCAGGTTTTGAAAAGAAGTTTTCTGTTACCAACCAAGTAACCAAGTTCTGTCTCAGATATACAACTTTGACTCCTGGTGCTTAAAAGGACCATGTCTTCAGAATAAAAAGATCACATCTTCAGAACATATCGCTCTTTCTCTATTTGTATGCCCACTGCAACAAGTTGTTAATTACCACAGCATCTTTCTTATTATGGTTACTGCTAGCAGAGGAGGTGTCTCTTGGGGCCTGGGGTAACATAGAAAAGAGACAGACACATATAGCCTGAAGTGTCCCAGGAAATTTATTGATCTCATGGTATGTACTAGAAATTTAAAATCTTAAGACCAGCTCAAAAGTGAGTACCATTTATTCTCAAATTCCCCCTAAGTACCCCTTTATGAGTTGGATTGTGTCCACCCAAAATTAAGTCCTAATACTTAGTACCTCAGAAAGTGACTCTGCTTGGAGATAAGCCCTTTAAATAGGTAATTAAGTTAAAAATGAGGTGATATGAATAAACTCTAACTCAATACAATTGGTGTCCTTTTAAGAAGAGGAGATTAGGTCACAGATTCACTCATAGAAAAGGACCAGGTGAAGATCTAAAGAGAAGACAGTCATCTACAAGTTGAGGGTGGAGGCTCTCAGTAAAAAACAAACCAATAAACAATGCTACCAATACCCACTGATTCCACAGCGACAGAAGTAAATTTCTGCTGTTTAAGCTGCCCAGACTATGGCATTTTGATATGACAGTGCTTGTAAACTAGTACAACCCCTCACAATTAAGGAGAGTGAATAGATGTACCTCAAGGGTTCTGTGGCATGGCTAAGGCACCTGTCACAATCATGATTTTTTAAGTCTCAAGGCTTCTCTGAAACACAAGAAATTTTTACTTTCTTTCACAATATATATATGCCTTTTTATAATATAAAAATGGAGGTTGTATTCTAAATATTTGATACCATGGACTCTTCAAGAAGATGTACCAAATTTATCCCACCCTACAATTCAGTCCTTCAGGTACATATAGTTCACCTTCACATTGCATGAATGTCAACCCACTTCTGACTTCCACAGTAACTCACATCTCATGACAAGCAGTTCATCTGATCCCTTGAGGGTTCTTCAGAAGCTCCAGGAGATCACTTTTAAAGCTCTTGAGCCAAGTTTTCTGACTTCTTGGCATCAGGAAGTATTGCTCAGAATTGCAAGTGCCCTCCACAACATCCAACCATAAACTAATCTTCATACAAAAATGGGGAAGATAAAATCATAAAGCTCGGTCTTATGAACACCTAAGATAAATAACCAACAACCTTTATGAATATAGACACAAAAATCCTCGACAAAATACCAGCAAACCAAACCCAGCAACATATTAAAAAGATTAAATATCATGATTGAGTAGGATTTACCCCCAGGAATGCAAAGATGGCTCAACATGTGAAAATCAATCAATGTAATGTAACACATTAAAGTCATAAAATATTAAGAAAATAAAAAGAAGAAAACAGATGGTTGGCTTAGTGGTGTGGCTCAAGTAGCAGAGCCTCGTAAGCACAAAGCCTTGAGTTCAAACCCCAGTACCACCAAAAACACCATGGTTATCTTAATAAACCAAAAAGCATTTGCTAAAATTCAACACTCTGTCATGATTTAAAAACAAAAACATTAGAAATAAAAGTGAATTTTCTCAGTATGAATAAAAGATCTAAATGTAAGAGCCACAACTGCAACACTATTAAAAGAAAACATACACATAAATATTCATGACTTTGGATTAAACAGTGTTCATCCGATGTGACACCTAATCACAGGCAACCAAAGAAAAATAAACAAATTAGACTTCATCATATGTAAAATGATTTGTGCTTCAGGACACAGTTAAGAAAGTAAAAAGAGCCGGGTGCTGGTGACTCACATCTATAATCCTAGCTACTCAGGAAGCAGTGATCAGGAAGATCATCGTTCGAAGGAGCCCAGGCAAATAGTTCTAGAGATCATATCTCAAAAAATCCATCACAGAAAAGGGCTAGTGGAGTGGCTCAAGGTAGAGGCTGCACATTATGTGGAAATATACAAAAACGATGGGTTGTCTATCTTAAATGAGTGCATTTTTATTGTACACGAATTATAACTCAATGAAGTTGTCATTTAAAAATGTTCTCACTGCCTGTAATATTGAATTATAGTTATGTCATTTCCTGGATGTATTTTTTAAATGAACTAATCTCTTCTAAAGATCTCAAAATACAAATGCACAAAACTAGCAGTGATTGAGTAGGTTAAGGTGTACTTGGGTTTTACATTATGGATAATTGGATTTAGCAATCTCACAATTGAACCTGGACTATTTAGTATTACAGTTGCTCTGTGGAGGTTACATCATTCATTCTGTCCTCTGGACATTACCATCTGCCCAAATTCCCATGACACTTTATTTTTTCAGTTGTCCATTTCTTCTTTCTTTCAATGGAAAGGAAACTCTGACTGTGAAAGAATGTTAATGGGGCTTTATCCCCAAACTAATCACCAATTTTAAAGAGAAATAGACTTACCTAAATTTTCTTCCCCACTTTACTTTCTCTAAAGCTCAGTGTTTCACGCATCCAAAAATGTTCTAACATTTCAAACCATTTTAAGAACCTGATAAATTTCTGGTGTCATGAGTAAACATCTAATTTTAAAGGCTGGAAATGCACATATAATATATCATCTCTTCCCAGGCTCAGACATTAATACTGTCTTCCTTGTTACTTTGTCAGAAAAACTTCCTTGGGCCTCATGCTCCAAAAAACGTCTATGAAGTTCATATGGTAGATTCTAGAATTTTGTTTCTTATTCTCTTATTGTCTGGTACTCTGGCTAGGGTGCCTTGAAATATTAGAACAAATATACTTTTGCTGTTTCTATTTGCTTCTCCAATTACATAACACAACATTTTAAGTAGTTAGCTAAACAACATTATAAAATTAATGTGATTTTTAAAAGAATTTCCTATAATCAGTTTTGTTTCCTTTTATTTTTACATATGTAATTTTCTAAAGTTTTAACTACAACTTAGATACATTTGTATTCAACTTGTTTCACTTAACATAGCATAATATTTCAATCACTCTCTCCCTTAATCTAAAATTATAATTTTATCAGATCACTGCACTAATGGGCGGAAGTCCTGGCATAGGCTCTCCTAATATTCAGAATATGCCTGGTAGCATTCAGATGATCGCATTCTAATCCAGATGGCACCCTTCATCCAGGGGTGCCTCAGTTATAAGTGCCTTTGAACAAGTATAATTTATCTCTGGCTCTTTCACCTGCTGCACTAATTAAATGAGTGCAATTTTGTGAGCTTCTTTTCTGCTTTTATTTTAGCCTTTGTGCATTTTGCACACTGTATCATTTGTTATTTTGTCCCCCAAAAGCTCCTTTTCCAAGTCAAGTGTATCACCAGTAGACATGTTTGACTTCATTCCCAACTGAATCCCAATGCCTTGCTGAGTACCAGTCACTCCCTCTGAAACCACTTCGGATCATAAGACCTTCAAGGGAAGGTCTCTGACACTTGAAATTTGCTTCCTTGTGTCTTGCGCATGGGCACCATTCCCAGGCATGTAATAACCTCTCATCACATTATAGCCAGAACTAGAGCAGCTGTAAGTATCACTAAGGCACCAATGCATTCCAAGTGGAGTGACACAACTGTGTCACCAACATCTGGTGTTGATAGATTAGGAGATTCATACCATAGGGTGTTTTTTTTATATCTGTGTGTCTATATTATTTAAAGATTTGGCACATATGGAGGATTTTTCAGTTCTTACCTTTGGTCTAGAAATTTTAAGATATAAATCATGGGCCAGGTATGGTGGCTCATGCCTTTAACCCCAGCTACTTCAGAAGCAGAGATAGGGAAGATCAAAGGGAAAAATGTTAGCAAGACCCCATCTAAACTAACAAGCCAGTCATGGTGACATGCCCATAATCTAAGCTACCAAAGGAGGCCATAGATAAGAGGATTTCAGTCCAAGGTCTATCCCAGTCGAAACCTCAATACTCTGTCTGTAAAATAACTAAAGCAAAAAAGGATTGGGGCCTGGCTCAAGTGGTAGAGTTCCTGACTAGCAAGTGCAAGTCACTGAGTTCAAACCTCAGTACTGCCAGAAAAAAAAAGACATAAATCAAGGACAAAAATAGTTCTTACTCAAAAGGGAAGCAAGAATACCTGATGAGCTTTCTTTTGTTACTAAAACAGATTATCACAAATTTGTTAGCTTGAAACAACACAGATTTGTTATTTAATAATTGTATGGATTAAAAGTATAACAGGTCTTACAGGACAAAAATCAGGTTGTTGGCAGAGCTATGTTCCTTTCTGAACACTCTGGGGAGAATCCATTGCCCAAACTTTTTTTTTTCCTGGTGGGACTGGGGTTTGAACTCAGAGCTTCATGTTATCAAAGCAGGCACTTTACTACTTGAGCCACACCTCCAGTCTCATTGCCCAAACTTTTGTGACATCTTGAGGCTGCCCACTCACCTTGACATCTTTCCCTTCTGTCTTCAAATCAAGCAACAGCTGGTTGAGTTTTCACATTGTATCACTCTGAGCCCCTCTCCTGTTTCCCTCCTGTAGTCTTGGATCAGCCAGGTTAATACATGATAAGCTCTCCATCTTATATTCAGTTTATTACCAACCCTAATTCTATCTGCTGCCTTATTTGCCCTTTGCCGTAATTCCTTACAGGTTTTGGGAATTAGAACATAGGTACCTTTGGAAACTTATTATTTTACTTACCACTTAAAGTAAGCTAGAGACCAGCATAATCTCTTTAGTACATATTTTAAGCCATCTCTTCAAGATGTGAAGCCTGACTCAGAGAGAAATAGGTCGACATTTGGAGTGAAAGGTTCTTCAAGGTCACCTAGTCCTGTCCTCTCTTTTATGCTGGTGCAGGAGAAACTGAGGCTAACAGAGGTAAAGTGACTGGCCAAGATCACAGTAAAGTGGTGGTAGGAATGAAATCATGAAAGCTCAGGACAGAGATTGCTGGTATCATTGATAGTCTTTGCTGTTTGTTATTTGATTAGACCTGTAATTTTTATTTCTTGATGAGTTCATAGCTTTACATGATAGGTGACTCATCCAAACCAATCACATTTTGTGCCATTGGTTTGATGATCTGTCTGCTCCACTTCTGTGCTGTTCACTGGTAGCAATAAGGTTATATAAGTTAACCACAGCATCGTTTGAGTCTTGAAATATAATTTTAAGGACCAGTGAGAGAGACCACACAGTTTCATAGTTTTCCAGTTGCCAGTATACAAATCCATTCGACAGTTGCTTTTTGCCAAATTACGGTTTTTAGTGCGCCCTCTTCCCAGCTCCCGAGCATTACCTTGATTTCACTGGGTTCTCTCCCTCCTCCCCCAATTTGTATTCCTACTTTCAGAGGCTGTGTCATCGGACCTACGTTCCATTTCAATGTTCCTGCTTTGCACTTTGGTGATGTTTCTTATGGTGAGTAATTTTCCATTTTAAGTTTAGAAATTGAATTGAGTTTCTTTTGTCCCTACTTAGGAGGAACAATGTTCACAAAGCACCTCGCTGACCATTTTTTATAGGCAATAGTCAAGGGGACTAGAATTGTTCTTTGCTTCCTCCATGGCAGTGGCATTTTGGTGCCATTTCCAAGCTCAAATGTGAAAGTAGTAGCTGTGTCCTGGGCACTACGAGCTGTCAGTCCTGGCTGTCTCCCCACTTCCAGCAGTGCTGCAGCAGAAGCCTTATGCTTCAGTCTCTATGTGAACAGTCTGCACTCTATTTAAATGCACATTCTGACTTGCCATTCTGGATGCACAGCAACCTCCTCACAGAGATGCTCTCAAGTTTAAGGTGAAGTCAGTGTGGTTTGGTTCAGGTGTTCTACCACTCCAAGTTGATGGTTCTTCTATATTTTTGTGCTATCTTAGTTGTTTCCCTGAGCCGTATCTTCCTGCCTAAGCTTCACCACTAATAAAAATGTTAATAACAGTAGCTGCAGAAAGTAGCAGCAGCTCTATTTATTGGTTATTTCTTGTGTTTTAGTCACTGCTAAGTGGATTACATGCAGTGCTGCATTTAATCCCTTTAATACTATCCAGAGTTACTACTTAACATCTCCAATTTTAAAAAGGAATCATTGAGCCTTGAAATAGTTAAATAATGTCCCAAGGTCACAGAGCAGGAGCAGAATTAGTACCTCAAGTAAGATCTGTCTAAATTCATGGACCATCAACAGGGTTGATGTTGCTCCCAAAGGGGTAAAAACTGGTTCTTAGATGATGAAATAAAAACCTTACATATAACAATAGTTTATGATCCTCAAAAGTTCAGTCCTTCCCAACAGAATCATTCCTTAGTCCCGAATGTTTCTTGTTAGGGAGAATTTAAATATGATTTAAATCATATCTAATGCATTAATTTGTTTTGACTTAGAATTGGTTTACCTTTTTTTTTAGTAAGTGATAATTGGGGAAGGGGTTGTAGTTGAGGTATGCTGCCTTAAATCCATGTCCCATCATCCTCTCCATTTTGATCCATTACCTCCCATCTTGTCTTGCTTCATTTTGAATAGATCCATGTACTTTGGAGAAAAATAGTTCTTTAGGAAAATCTTAGTCATAATGTCTTTGTCAATTGCTTTACTATTTGGTAGTTATGACAGCTTTATTAATTCAAGGCACATTTATTTATACAATGTCCCATGAACATTGCACCAAAGGAAAATCTATATAAATAAAATAGAATGTCTATAACATAAGAAAATTGCTGGAGAGATTTGTCTAATTTGTATGTGTATCTGAGTGATAGTTAGACTCATCTGGAGGAAAATAGATGTGATCTTCAATTTGAAAATCATTTAGTAGCCAATGAAGAGAAGCAGACCCTCTCCAGGGTGACTATGGCTGGTGCACCATCTGAGGTGTATTAGAAAATCCAAAGACTTATTCAGTCATCCTCCAAGAAGTTTAAACTGAGTCCAGAAAGATCTGGACAGCAGCTCATCCTTCCACAGCATTGCAGTACAAATGTTCGGACCCTGTTCCCTGTATCATGCTGTCCTGGAATCAGAAAACAGAATCCAAGTATGCCTCCCAAGTCAGTTATTCATATTGACTCATTGTCTGTAATCTGTTCTGAAATATCAGTGCAGATGCTATATACCAATGGTAAGTCAATTGCTGAGCCCAAGATTATCTGAAACTCTTTTATCTAGAACTCAGACATTTAAAAGCATCAAGGTCCAGTGGGCAGTATGTACCTATATTCCCCAAGATGCCACTGATTTCTCAAAATAATGCATCTTCTTATAGTTTCCAATGACCCAATGACCAACATATGTAACAAAGCATAGGCATTGATTTTTAATGGGGATACTTCTAACATGAGTAGTTGAAATTCATGTTAGTAGGCTCCCAGTTGAGTGGAGGTCACTAATGATTCCCAGGTACAGTTTTAACAGTGCTGGGAACAGAAGCCAGACTGTCATGAGATAAAGAATGATGACTATACACAAAGCAGTATGTATCTGACATAGTACAGACATTCTCTTAAATATACCTGGGAGACGGATTTTGTTTATAAAAAATTACCATCACTGGTCAACATTTCTGATGGTAGCTTTTTAAATTTATAAATAAATAACACTTGTTCAGGATATTAAGTATGTTCCTTCTGCATGAATCCTAGATACAGCATGAATTGTAAATTCAAATACAGCAATTAAACCCCCACCTATCACCTACCTCCATTCCACACAGCTGGCAACTAGCCAAGCTACTAGCATGCTTGAAGACTGGCATGAGACTGGAAATGTATATGTAAATATATGTAAATGAACCAAAGGATTTATGGATTGGTGGACATTAGACATTGCTGAGAGTGGGAGTATTATGTAAAGATCAAGAAATCAAGTACAGGTCAACACATTGATTTGTGAGACTCCTCTACCCTCTAAGTTTCCCCTCCACTTGAGCTTCCAACAACTCTGAAGTCAGACATAAAAATTGTCTATTAACAATTCACTGGTGTTGAGAAACTCATGCAGAACATAGCACTCAAAGCAAAGAGTTTAAATATATGAAGGAGAAATAAGGAGAATGAAATATAGATGGATTTAAAAGTTTCAAAGTGGATCTTCTAGGAGTTTTATGAGAAGAAGGACTTTAGCCAAAAAGCAATATTTGGAGAGAAGGTAGCTGAGAGTTTTTAAACTAAGGAAAAATATCTGTCAGTGTAATGTACCATCCAATAAACTAAATTCAAGCATAGAAACATCACAGTAAAAGTTCAGAGTTCTTACAGATGAAGAGAAAATCTTAAAAGCTTCTAGAGAGAAAAAATATACATGAAAGAATAATCAGACTAACAGCAATGGTATCAGAAGACAGTGCAATAAAAATTTTAAATTGATTCTTATTCAGAGATTGTCTTATCTCTTTTATGATGGGACCTACAGTATGATATTTTCATCAAAAACCAGCTCAGATCTGGGACACAGTTGGTATGCCAAAGACTGTAGGAGTAGACAGAAGACCCTCATTTAGGCAATGTTTGTTTTCTAAACCAAAGTCTGAATTTTATATGCCCAAATGAATTGGGTATATGTGTTTATTGATCTCCCATATTATGAATTATTTCTATGAACAACTGCAAAAGTGCCACCTGATTTGCATAATGATCTGCAACACATTTCCTGTTGCTTTGTGGAGATTTTTGTTTTACTGGAAAAAATAGGAATCCATTGCCCATCATACTCTGTGAATCCCCACGTGTCTCTCCATTGCACGTTGCTCAGTTTAATACTTCCTTCAGATCAGGTCCATTCTTTAGCAGAGCAGGTCACATTCCAAATGATGTACCCTCTTTTCAAGAATTTTGTTGTTGTTGATTTTTTTCTGTGCAGCTTCCCAATCTGCTAATTTCTTCATGAAGTCTTCTTAAGGGCTTTTTAGGTCAGGTTAAAAAATATACAAATTGAAGGATAACAGAATCTCTTGAGAATGTTGTCCTTCAAATCAATATTTAAGTATTGGGAGAAATATGAGTTGCCTCTGAGAATGCTTGAACATTCTGCCCAATCATGTTGTTATTATTCCAGGAAAAGGAAAATAAATACTGACCTCTATCTTCTCCATACAAACTAAGGGATCATAGATGCTTACAACTGTAAAAGACTTGCATTAGGGTGGAACTACAGATTGAAATGGGTACTAGGATTGGGTGCAACCAGAGGCCAAGGAATACCATTCTTACTGATGACCATTAAGTCTTTAACAAACTAATATCCCCTTCCTTTAGGATTCTTGACAAGCAATATGGGACATTATAGATACCAATACAAGGAATTCTTCTAACTGAGGGATTAATTGGCTTTATTCTGTGAAAAATTTCTGGCTTCAGGGAAGTAGTTTGGACAATGGATTTGAAAGACCCATATGACTATTTATAGGATCCACTTTTTGTAATACGCCCTGTATTAGTAAAACATTTGACCCACAAATGGTCAGGTAAAATAGGGTACAGTTTCAAGAGTCATTATTGGGCAAGTTCAGAAGGGTCAAACATAGCAATTACATAATTGAGAAACTACCTTCCTACTGGTACCTGAGGAATCCCCAAGAATAACTTAGGAGAAGTGAGTTCAAGGTAACAGAGCAGGGTTTGCATCCAGCAGAAATAAGTGCTTGTGTTCTCCTATGGATATAGATAATTCTTCTTGTTCTGAAAGTGGTGCCAGATGCAATGGCCACCTAGGGATTCTAAAATCAGAGCTGTGCTTATTGCTTGCCCAGCATGAAAGATTCACACCTCTTAAGAAAGGAGCATGAGTCCCACCAAACTGAACACAGGAGAGCTGGTTATAGCATGACTGAAGGAGGTGAAAGTTGGTGTTGGTCTCTGGCTGGCTCTAAGGCAGGTTGCTGAGTCTCTCTTAGAAGAAGCTATTATTCAATTTTGTGTCATCAACCCTGACAGCATGAGCCTCAGACTGGTGCTGAACTAAGTTTACCATGTCTTGGCCAGGCTGTGGGTTACACTGCAGGCACAACCACTCAGCTTTTCCTTTCACATATTGACAAATAAAAAGAACAAGCATGATTCTATGTTTAAAAAGTCTGTAATTTTATGAAAAAAACTGAGAACAAAATATACGTCTACACAACAATTTAGCAAATTAATAATAGATGCTGCCTCTTTGCAGGGGACTGGGTTGATGATCAGGGGAGGTGTTTTGTATCTACTGTTCAACCTGATATACAGTAAATGCATAATAAATATTCATTGAACAAATGTATGAAAGAATGAATTTATTGATTGTGTGATTGAAAAAATTTTTAGGGCAAGTTAGAGTTAAGTAGCAATTAATCGCATAAATGGTTCACCAAAGAGGTTGGACAGTTGCTAAGGATGTAGCCACTAGGGAGGGGGGCTTTTATTTCTCACCCCATATTTTGTGTTCCAGGATTTCCTCATACCTTGATATGTTCCCTCAATAACACATCTTTGGTCCCTATGACCTTCAAACTTCGTGTCCCTGGGGATGGCCTTGGCCCAAAAAGCATTCCAAGTTATGAGCAGGATTCAGACAACAGAAGACTATCTCGGACCAGTGAAGAAACACCCATAATGAAACCAAAAGAATTCACCATTGCTCCCACCCACGGCACCATTCGCTCCCAGGGATTTGCTCCTATCAGGGTAAGTGCACACACAGCCTTCCAGTACCCACCACCAAGAGCTGAGCCTTCAGATAGCCATTGGGACCTCAGTGGCTAAGGTTCTTTGTCCACTAACAGTTGGAGAGAGTACCTGCCAAATCACATGGGAAAGCAGGGTCTATAGGAAATAAACTCCTGCAGCCAATGAAACCAGACACAAATACACTGGGCAAAGAACTCGACCCTGCTTCATTGGATCTCTGTCAATCTGGGTGTATTGCCTTTGCCAGAACAGTAACATCTAGCTTTTTCTAGTGAAGCCACTGCTGTATACAAATAACCCATCCACTGGTACTAATGGGTACCAACTACAACATGGTAGAAGAACTCATTGATAATTGGCTTCTTCTTTCCTCCAGACTCAGATCCTTTATACCAATAAATATTCCGATTTATGGCAGTGATGACAGACAGCTTATTTAGATTTGTAATATGAAACTGGGCTCCAGGTGGGTATGCTTCCATCAGTGCTTTGTATCCAGGTCCACAGGAAGAGCAGTGAGGAAGCTACTGAGTTCTCCCCCACCCCCCATCTCCATGCTTGGTTGGAATTCAGGGCAGTGCAATGCTGTGGTTATGGGTTTACAGTGCCACTGGCAGAATTATTTCACAGTTAACTGAGAAGGGTTTTAGCTGTCTCCCCTCACTTTTGCTTCTCCAAGCAGTGAGGTCTAGCAATATTGAAAACTACTAAATTGAAATGATTTTAAACTTTCTGGGAAAGAGGAAAGGTAGGACTTCATAGCTAAAATCAGTAATTTTCTCTTTAGTTATTACCATATTTAATCCAGCTGTTCTTTTATCCCCACACTCATTTTAAATGCTTCTTAATATCTCCCCCAAATCTACCCATCCCAACTCTTTTCTGGGAGTTTTACGTTTTCCATGGGCTTCTCCTCAGGTCCAATGAGAATGAGGGTTGTTGTTGTCATTTATCGCTCCATCCTCTCAAGATTGCTAAAGTGACATTCCTGGTCAAAGTGCTACAGCAGTGGATTTATTCATTTTTTATTACAAAATAATGCTAGCCTGTATGTCACCTGTCTTTCTTTTGGATCTCCACAGAGCACAGGAAGATTTTTAAAGACATGGTACTTCTCTAGCAGATCCTGCGAGAAACATTTGCTCTTCTTCTTTAATCACAGCCTGAATACATAAACAAGGCATTATAGTCATCCTAGGTTTCTCTGCTTTCCTCCAAGTCCAGCAAGTTTTCTTTCCAAATCAGTGACTTCATCCTTACTTTATTTTTCCTGTATATTTGGAAAAGCTTTCCTAAGCTTCAATTTTCCCTCCTGATCTGCACTTCAGCCAGGTCTGTGTGGACTCAAATTTGCATCCAGTGATTCTCTCTGCAACCAAAAAAATTTTTAATTAGAACCTGATACATAATTTATAGACAGAAAGGCCTTAACCCATACCAGAAGCTGTTTTCTAGACTAACAAGTACCTCTTCCGGTACAAATCATTTTAAAGCAATTAAAAGTTGTAACAAAGCTTTCAAAAGCCTAAGCATAAGTTTCACAGCAGCAGATAGAAACATAGGGCAAAATGTTCTTGTCAAATATTGCCCTCACATGGATTTTTTTCTTTTTTGGAGCTTCCTATTTTCTCCTCTAATGATGAACACTGGGCAAGATTCTGGAGTAAAAAAAAAAAAAAAGACTGATTTCTTATGCCAATTTCTGGAACCCATATGATTATTTTCATTTGTTTTAATGTAAATATTTCATATAGCTCAGAGGTATAAGGAACAATTTAAGTTGCAACAATTAGTTAGTTTGATACTTACTGTTCGTGATTCATGGTCCTTTCCCCTCTTGTAGGTATGTGCCTTCTATGACAAAACCACCTCAGAAATGAGCAAACCTATTGTATTAAAGCCATGTTATTTCTGACCTGGCCTATGAAAACATTCGGCATGTCCTGACCCCGCAATGTTAACTTGTTCAACTGAAAATGTAAAATGCTATGTATCCATAAAGCACTTAGAAACCACACTCATGAGCCCTGTCCTCCCCGTCTCCTCTCTCCCCTGTGTAGAGAAAGAGTCAGCCTTTTAGAAGAGCAACTTTTCGCCTTTTCCTTTCTAGGTGACGTTATGCTCCAACACTGTGAAGAAATATGAGCTGGCATTGGTAGTAGACGTGGAGGGTGTTGGAGAAGAAGTGCTGGCACTCTTAATTACAGCCAGGTAGTTCTCACCTGTTCCTCTCTTCTGGAGTGCCCCCTGGGCCCAGTGTTGGGTTGCCTCCCAGAAAGCAGTTCTCCTGCCAATCAGAACTGGAATTGTTCTGCCTTTGAATCAGACATTCAAAGGACAAAGCTTTAGAACAGCCACTGTTTCTCTAACACCTTTGGAGGCAATAAGAAGGGCTGTGTGTGTATCAAGAACAGTGCTCTCTGATGAGTGTTACTTTCAAAGTATGTAAGGGGAAAGGTTTTAGCAGGAAGAAGTGACAAAATGCTGTGTGCTTTTTTCCATTTTTGTTAGGATGTACCTGTTATAGAGGGGTATTCATTGTGTCAATTCTGAATAGCCTTACATTGTACATTGATTAGATGACTCCCACCACCACCCCAACCCCCTTGCAAAACCCTCCCCGTTCCACTTAAAACAGTTGCAAGAGGTTTCATGGTTCTATTTTGTATTTGTATGTGAACCCATCAACAATACTCCCTCACCTTCATCTCCGTTCACCCTCCCTCTCAAGATGCTGGTTTTTATTCTCATCTCTCAACATAGTACTCCCCAGTCATGAAGGAGGAAGGTCTACTCTCAATCCTGCAGTGGATGAACCATTTAGCCAACATGTCCCTGCTCTGTGACACTTACTATGACTTGAATGGCAGGCTATGGATGGGCCCCCCAAATGAGGCTCATCTCTAACAATATGAAGTCCTCAGAACTATGATCAACTTCTCTCCCTTCTTAGGGAATCAACAAGGGGCTTTGGAGTCAGGTTAAAATCCTGACTCTACCATTTCTTGACTGGGTTTCTCTGACCCAGTTTCAGTCTTTTCCCTGGTAGTGATGAGAGAAGTGGTATCGCCTGCTGATGATGACATAATACTAAATAAAATCATGGGGCCACACTCTTCCTAAAGCAAACAGTGTCCATACCTGGGACTTGAAAGTGTACAAATGAAAATGCTGTGTACAGGAAACAGAGAAAATGACTTAATAAAACTAATAAGGCTGACGTGCCAGTCTGTCGAATTTAGGACTTTCACAGATCTTAGGATGACATACTTTAAAGAAGGTGTAATAGTTCACGTGGCCAGCGCTTGGGTGAAGACCAAGTAACAACCCTAGAAGAACTTGAACTTGTGTTGTCTTGATCCATTTAGCATTTTTCCAAGACTTAAATATTTCTTGTTCAATTAAAAACAGCAAAAACTCTTTGAGATGGTCCATTCTATATCCAAGTCTGCCTTTTAGTCTGGTCTTAAATTTATTTTCTGTTCAGGCTTATTTTGGTACTTTCCAGCCCCTTTTTACCATAGCTATCGAAAGGAAATTCTGAATTTCAAATAATAATAAGTGTAAAGAGGCTATGAGTTTCCTGTGAAGGTATGCTGTGTGACCCATGGGAAATATAAACTCTCTCAGTCAATGTTTCAGGCAGTGAAGGATTAGCTTTGAGAGAGAGTCATTGGGTCAACTGACAACTTCCATTATAGCTAAAAATGAACATTCATCTCATGCTCAATCACAGGCTTCATGTTGAAGAAAGTTCTTTCATGATTTTGGGGGTTTTGTGTGTGTGTGTGTGTGTGTGTGTGTGTGTGTGATTTATAAGAACTGCTTGCTCTCAACAGAAGAGTTGCTTTTAGAAGTTGCACTCAAAGTAACTCTCTCAGAGAACCAGCAGTGACGCTGGCCATGCCCTCACCCCAGGTTTATCTCCCCTCACTGCACACTTACATAATGCTGGACCATGCCCTCCATTCACAGTTTCTTCTGGATTCCCCATGATACCCTAAGAAGAGTAATAATGCCACTCAATCCCTAGAATGACTTTCATTGTACCTCTGAGAGAAGTGGGACCCCAAGAGAGAAAGCAACTGGCCCAGGGTAACTCAGGTTATATTTTGTAGGCTCAGCAATGAACCTGGCTCTGTCTAATACAAAAGCCAGTACTCTTCACCCTTGTATTGCATGTTGTGACAATGGCATAAGGCAGCTTAGACATTGAGAGCTACAGACACAAAATAAAACCCAAGTCACTGCACAATAGACCAACTGCAAATACAGGGTTCTACCTCCTGTCCTGGCTGCACACAACTCTCCTCCCTCCCCCATTCATTCCACTCTCTCCATATTGGAAACACTGTCACAGTGTAGTTCTGGGCTGAGCAGCTGCAGAGCCCACCCATCCAATACAGCTATTCTGCATAGGAATTAGAATTACTACCATTATTTAGATGATGTAGTCTGTTGCTAGTCTTTGGGGGACTTTCTGACTAGCCAAAGTATCACAGCTAGTTAGGACTCCTTGCTGGTGGCATTGGCCCTGTTCATAGAAATAGACCCAAACCCTAAGGAATCTGCACCACGGGGCCCTTGGCCAAAGAAAGGCCAAGTTGAAAAACAATGGAAATGTTAGTCATTACCCACCAAAGACAGCTGCTTAAGGAGTTGTGCTCATAGTCCTTTATTAATTAAAAATAGTGACTGGGAGCTAAGAGAGAGGGGTGACAGGAGGGAAGAGTTGAAAATGATTAATGTAGTTGTTAGAGAAAAACTATTATGTGACAGTGACAAATGTATTTTAGGACTCTGCATTCTCTGTGTGTAAATAAACTTTCTATTTTGAATTGTTTAATGTGCTCCTTTGGACAGGTGCATTGTACCTACCCTCCAGCTGGTCAATACAGAGGTGAACTTTGGGCGCTGCTTCCTGAAGTACCCCTATGAGAAAACAGTTCAGCTTGTCAATCATGATGACCTCCCAGGATGTTATGAGATACTGCCTCATGTGAGTTTCTTTTTTCTTCTTCCCTGTTAAATTTTCTTCCATTGGATTCCCTCAATGAGAAGGAGACATCCTTCTGAAGAGCCATAACCTTGAACACATGACCTTATGTAATTCTGATTTTTAACCCTTGAGTAAGCTGGGCATGGGGTTATAAACCACAGCTGGATTGCCAGCTGCATGCATGAGCAGCTGCAGGTGTAAACAGTTGTTAATTTCCCAGGGAAATTGCCCTTGATAAAGAAAGGAAAGTGTCAATTAAGCCAACACACAGAAGTGCACCTGCAACTAATTGCCCATAAATTAACCAAGCATGTGAAATGAGCTAGGAGTTTTCATTTATGCCCATGACTGTGATTTGAACAACATCACCAAGATACAGTAATGCAGTATTTATAAATGGATTTGTTGGACCAGAAGGCTGGAGGTAATACAGGAAAAGGTAAGAAGGATCATCACTTAATGTTTTACAAAATGTGTCTGTCCACATGTCACTATGTATGGCCAGGTGGAAGACTAAGCAGTTCACAAATGGAGAAGAGTCAAAAAGAGCTGAACAGATTATAACAATGGAAGGCTACTAATGATGAACTGTTTACCAAGAATGCATTTGGGATTAAAATTCAATTGTATAAGAACAGTACTCTGACATAAATTCATGAAAAAAATCAATGGGGGGGGTTCATTTGGATCCAAGTTCAATATGAGTTTTTTTAAAAAAACTTTAAGGTGGGGGCCACAGAATCAAGGCAGGTTTAGGCTGTACCAGAGAAGTTGCAGCTCAAGAAAGGTGGCAGCCACTGGTCAAACCATGGCCAGAACTTTGTCCTCAGGTCTTGTCATTGTATTTTTAAATGGGAATTTGAAAGAAATGTATTATGTTCATAGTAACCAAAATGTGACTCATGTCCTCTACAAATGCACGTCATGAGAGGAACCAAACTCAAGAGTTTAATCTGCAACAGAGAAGACTTAGCTGGGATAAGATGGTCACTTCTCCCTAGTCAAAGGGCTGTTAGATAAAAGAGGAAGTTAGAGTTATTGTGTGGGTTTCTCTGAGAGACATAAGCAGGAACCAAGGGTCAGGTTATAGGGCATGTCTAACACTCAGATACTCAACAGCAGAACACGCTGCACTGTGCGATGCACAAACATTTCAAAAACTCAGAGCAGAGCCTGCATCTGGGGTTAGAGATGCATTTTCTGTGCAAGATTGGAAATAGGTTAAGACACTTGCAATTGGGTGCAAAATTTAAGGGAGAACCAAACAATCACCAAGATACAAAATTTTATGCCATATTCTAAGATATTAAAGTTAATTTAAAACCCCCATAATGAGCAAAATATCAACATTTATATAAAGATAGGATTAGTATTGCTGATTTTTCTTTTGGTGTCGGGCTCCAGGGGGTGCTGCAGAGCAGTGCTGCACAGAGAAGTGAAGTGTGATTGTGATATGTAGGACAGACCGTGGGATGCTGCAGAAGGGTGGACCCTGCACGCTCTATCTTTCTCCCAAGTAGCTGAGATCCCTCAGAAGTGTTTCTCAGAATTACCCAAATTCATTTGACCATGGAATTTTTTAAAACTTCTTTTACTGTTGTTGCTTAAAAGCTAGTAATATACTGCAGAACAGGTTCTGAGAAAGACGCACAGGTAAGCACTGAATGACATTCATTCATTCCTTATGCAAAAAAACATGTACTGAGTATATGTTTTGAGTCACAAAGTGAACATATAGAGAGGAGAGGCTGCACCATGCCCTAAGAAGTTTCTAGCCATGGAGAAGATGCATATGCAGATGGTTACAGTACTGCCAGGTGCATGCTGTAGGAAAAGGACCTCACAGTACACTTCCTAGGGAAAGAGGCAAAGCCCACACTCTAGAGCCTTGGGAGTACTTGGGAGGAATTCGAGAAAGATGTGTTAGGTAGTTCAAAGGGAACAACAGTCAAAGAAGAGGAGCCACAGCGCAGAGGGTTGGAAGTGGGAAGCAACAGTGTGCTCAGGAAATGGTGACCATGTGGCCTCTGTTAGTAGAGTGCAGAGGGGCAAGGTGATGGGGAGCGAAGCATGAAGGTGTGGGGCCACACCACAGACTTGGTGTGAAAGGCTGCTTTCCCAAACTCATTCATGTATGGATCATTTCACTTTGCTGTGATGGGTACACTGGATTTTGGGGCCTTACATATGCTGTACTTGACCCAGCTTTTTTCTGACTAAATTAGGGTGCTCATTCCTGAATAATAAGATGCTCCAGATGACTCCCCATGAACTGAGGATAACACTTATTTCAAAATAAATTAATATGACATTTGTTCTCCACCATACCTGGCTTGGCTTGCCTATTGCCCAGCTTGTCTCTCTCCAGGTGTATAAGGACCCACCTGCTGTGCTGCTTTCCAGCCCCAACCCCTGTGGGATCATCTCCCCTCACAGCACCATTCACATACCACTGGCCCTGGAGACCCAGGTCATTGGAGAACACAAGTCCACGGTTTACATCTCCGTCTTTGGAAGCCAGGACCCCCCTCTGGTGAGAGCCAATTTTCAGAACCATGATTAAAATCACCAGGTTTCTTATAAAATAGTTTGAGCCTCTTCATTGCAGGCATATATCCTCTGATTACTCATAGTCTCACATTTTTCACTCTGTAATGGTAAATACAAGTGTAGTATTACTTAGAGAATCTATTTCCAGATATATCTGAAAGTGGTAAGGTTTTATAACAAATCTTTTTTTTTTTTTTGAGGTTCTGGGGCTTGAACTCTGGGCCTTCACCTTGAGCCACTCCACCAGCCCTTTTTGTGATGGATAATTTTGAGACAGGGTCTTGTGAACTATTTGCTGGGACTGGCTTTGAACCTTGGTCCTCCTGATCTCTGCTTCCTGAGTAGCTAGGATTACAGGCGTGAGCCACCAGCACCCAGCTAGCAAATCTTCTTAAGCATAATTTGAGAATCAGAAGCTTCATATGCACACACACACACACACACACACACACACACTCGCCTGGCCCCCCTCCATCTGTATGCTTAATAAGTTGTTCTAGGTGCAAAGCCAGGTGTAGATATCACTAGTTTGTCACATGTGGTCAAGAGATCAGTTTCATGTGCTGCTCCCCAGATCTTTTCCTGTATAGTGACCATAACCCAAATGAACCTACTGATGCTGTTAGTCTCTCTCCATGCAAGGTAAGAGCGAGACATGGAAAGCTCTCTGCTGCTTGAGCTAAATTGAAGGATTAAATCTTGAATCTTAAAGGAGGTTGTCTAACAGGCTCTGTGTCCCTAGACATTCGGTTTATTTGGGAGCTGGCTGATGTCAGCTTACATTTATTTGCTTAGAGTAGGATTTTGCTTTTTATCCCTTCCCTATAAGATGCCATAGATAAGCAATCAGACTTGTGGAACAGTATCACAAAGGAGGGCAACCCCAATATGTGCCAGTACATGTCCTCCACTAGGCTCACTGCGATACTCCCACCCCCTTCACCGATGCAGCTCCTGAGAGGGTAGCCAGTGCTTAATGAAAGAAAAGAATCTACCTTGTCAAGCAGACATGGTACAGATCTCACTGCTAACCTACACAGCTGTGTGCAGTGGCCCTGCCTGTTTCGCCACTACTAAAGTGACAGAAGTAGGACTCAAATCCAGCCACATATGACTTTGAAGCACCCCACGCTAAGTGTCCTTGAGGCTGGAAGGCTACATGAGTCAGAGTGACCCAAGAGTCTTATTTTCCCTTAGTGCACAGTTCAGGGCTCACCCAGGAAAGCTGACCATCCTTGGGGAGAATTCCAGACTGTCTTTAGAGATCTGACCCTGGATGGCCACCTGTGTCCCTCTGACCACAGAGTATGAGTGGGAAGAGATGTCAGATCCCAAAAGTACCTTTTTATACCCCTAGTTATTATAAGAGGGGTAAGCACCCCTCTAAACAGAAACTTCTATTTTAAAAGCTAGCTACTTTCAGCTGGTTGGTCCTGTGTTTTCTCTCTCACATGGAACATAGGTATGCCACGTAAAGAGCAGGGGAGAAGGCCCAGTTGTCTACATCCATCCCACTCAAGTTGATTTTGGCAATATCTATGTCCTAAGGCATCCTCCAGGATTCTCAGCCTATCCAACCAATCCTTCATTCCCGCATTATTTCGGGCACGCATGGTGAGTAAGTTGTGGGTGGTTGTGTGATGAAAACACAGCTTTGGTTTATGGCAGTGTCCCTATTTTTACAACATGTCTTGAAAAGTGAACACCAGAACCAGAGTTGCATGGTTAAACTGTATTAAACTATATCACCTCCATCCCCAATTCCTTTTTATTATTGTCCTTTTATTGATAAAGAAACACAATCTGCATACTTTTGGTAAGCAAACAGATACTCTTCATAAAATCCCAGGAGGGGCAGATGCATCAGAGGGTCGCAGCTCTCACACTGATGTTGCAGAAGCCCAAGCTCCAGCCCTCTGAGGAACAACTCTTCCATGTCTCTGTACATGGAAATATTTCCTTTCATTTGATCTTCTTGGCTATGAATTTGTTAGCATGCTTATTCTATTTTTGTTTTCTTTTCATTCAAGAGTACTTTAAAGTAGTTTATAAGGATGTCTGAAGTAAAAGATAGTATTTTCTAAAAATGGAAATTAAAGAAAACAGCAAACCAAAGAGAGATACAAAGATTTATTTTTAATGAGTCTGTCATTTCTGTTTATTTCATAATAATATTTAGAACTGCTGGTCTCCCATGAGCTATACAAAGAGAGATAATATAGGAAGGTGGGATTATTTTTGCAGAGTTTTATTTTCATACAAGAACAGAGGTAAAATAAGGCTAGAGATTTTTGTAGAGGTTAGGAATTTCTGATCTGGTTATTGAAATTATCGAAGTTTTAAATATAATTTTAACTGGTTTAGCCCTCCTCTTGTCCCCAACTTATTGGCATTTGAATGAGAGCTGACATTTAGGTTCAGCATTTGTTAGATATGAACTAGGACTATAGTTTTCTTCTGACTCAGCACACCAGACATTGGTCCCACTTAGTAGCCATTTATCATTACCATAATTTATTTTATTATCGTTTTTCATGATTCCTTATAAAGGCAGTCACTTTCACATACAGTCACTGCACTTTTCAACACGAGATTCCAACAGAACACCAATCTTGCTCCAGTGCCTTGTGGATCTTGTATGAAAAATATTGCTTATAAATTGTTAAAGAAAAACCCTATAGAGAACACACTTCTCATAGTCTTTACCCAATAAGCTGATGAATGGTAGAAATCACAACGTATTGCTTAGGAAATATGGCTTCTCAGTCTAGTGCTGAGTTGGTGGTGGGAGAGAAAAGAGTCAGCAGCCCATCCAGAACCGTGCAGGTGGGCACAACAGGGCCTGAATGGATGACAGGAGAAAGAGATGAGCAACCCAAGGAAACTTAAGTACACATACGGCCATTCCCTTTCATTCTCAAATGTCTAGATTTCACTTTTTATGGCACTTTCGATGCATTTCAAAAAAAAACAAAGCACATGAAAGATCCACTTTTTTCTTGCTAATATAGTAGATGTATTAAATGACCCTGTTGGCTTGTTAAAATAGGACTTTTTCCTCTTCAACAAAAGTCTCATGATTTCATCTTTCAATTCTTTAATGTTTCCCTAAATCTGCGTGTGCCAGTTCCAAGAAGCCAAATGTGTGATATAAATGATTTACTGTAGGATGTGTTTTTCCTTCCATCTGCTGTTGGAAAACTGGTGTTTATTGAGTTATAGCAAAAAAGTAGTGTCAACTGTAGATCTCATAGGTGAAAATTAAACTCTTCATATTTCAGATGGGATTTTTGTAGATTTCCTAGTAAATATGTATTAATGTTATGTTAATTTCCATAACATGGCTTTTCTGGGAAGAAACCAAAATGCCCTTTATTAAATTTCAACTTGATATACAGTGCCAAGCCTTCAAACACATTACAGAAATTATTCAAATTTAGGGAGGAATTTTAATTAATAATTGCTTATTCCCTAACTGAGCCTAATAGAGGTTCAGATGTTCTCTCTTCTTGTTGGTTGTCTTGTCAGGAGGGGTCATTCTCTCTTCTCTCTTGGCTGTCAGTGAATGTCATCTCTCCCCAGATGCAGCCCCTACTGTCAGCCATCTGTCAAACTCAGCCTCATGTGTGGCCACACATCTTGATAACCACTGTGATTAAATTTTCCTTTAGCAGTGATATTGAAAAGACCAGTGACACAGAGCAATTTTTAATTTCTCAGAAATAAGTGCTAGATCAAAACAAAGATTTTTTTTAAAAACTGAGATCTCTTCATATAGTATGAAGAGAAGAAACTGAGGATTTTATATATATGTACATATGAATATACATGCATGTACACACATGCATGCACACACAAACACACACACACAATATATATATATAGTTCCATTGAAGCTTAGTATTTCCTGAGTGTAAAAATTTTGAGGTTAGGTGTGGTGATTCATGCCTTTAATCCCAGCTACTCAGGAAGCAGAGATAAGAGGCTCAAAGTCCAAGGCCAGCCCAGACAGAAAGCTTGAGACCCCATCTGAAAAAACAAACTAAAAAAGCCAAAGGATGTGGGAGCATCCTTTGTGCTCAAGTGGTAGAGCACTTTCATAGCAAGCAGAAGACCCTGAGTTCAATCCCCAATGCCCCCCAAAATTTCTTTCTTTCATTAGCATAAGGAAGAATACCCTGTGACTGAGCAGAAGCTCCTCCTTTGCTTCGGAACACCTAGAATACCAGTTTATCCTAAGCTACCTGTTCCCAGGTAGTTATTTGGAACCCCCTCTAGGTAGAGTAACCCTCTGGTTTCCTGAGGATGGAAAAACCCTTTTAGCTGAGTATGGGCTCTGTTATACACAGAGGTCTCTATCAGGAAGAGAGTTCCCTGTTCAGTGAGCTGCAGAAATGAGGTGAGAATGTTGCATTGTCGCCGGGGCAGTGAGGGTCTAAACACTGGGCTTGAGAACAGATGCCGTCTTTTCATGGGCGTCCACGCCTTGGTTGAACAAGTGCTTTGCTTATACTTGTTTGGAAGCATCTGGAATCCTTTCCCTGTCCTCTTGGCTCTAGTTTGGCCCTGGCTACAGTTTTATCAAAGCCCTGTGTTCACATGGCAGTGATACCTTGGGAGTCACCAGCACCGAGGCCTCTTGCCTCTGTGATCTGCAAGGAGAGTCCATTGTAATTTGATATTTAAAATTCCTGGACCCTGAAGACTGGAATTCTGAAGCATCAGTCAAGCATGGTTCTTTTCAAACATTTGTTTTTATTGGTCACTTACAGAACCACACACAGTGATGTGGCAGCAAGGGAAATCCGGGACTTTCACATGTCCTTCAGACCCTCAGCCACTGGGTAACTTCCTCACTTCAGCAGGGAACCCCTTTCTATATTTATTTGTTTTTAAGTCTGTATCTTAAATGACAATAGTTTCTGTACTGAATTCCCAGCACCTGGATGCAGGCTTGACAATTATTGTATTAAATTAATTATGGCTAACATTTATTTAGTTGTAACTAAAAAAAACTCATATTCATTCCATTCTTAGGACTCATATTTTAGGAATTTCAGTTTAGCTCCTTTGTGTTCTACCACAGGAATATTTGATTCTTAGGATCAGGAACTATGTGTACTTGATGTTTTGTTTTATTTATTTATTTATTTTAGTGGTACTGGGGCTTGAACTCAGGGCCTCACACTTTCAAAGCAATCACTCTACCACTTGAGCCACGCCTCCAGCCCTTAACATATTTTTAATACAGAAAAATTCAAAGAGTTATACTTGACACTAAAGTCTTCCCCATTAGCTTTTTCCTACATTTATTGCACATCCTATACTTACAGAAAACAAACATCGACATTAAACTTGGAGTCCCATATCCTCTCCTGGTCGCTTCCATGTCCTGCCTCTCTGCCCAGAGGCAGCTATATTATGGATTTGATACCTGTCCAAGCCATGCGTTCACATTTTATCACACAATATGTTTATTCATAAATACTGTAGTATGGGGTTTTGTTGCTTTTAAAATGTATCTAAAATCACATCACTGCAGTGACATCTTTCAACTTAATTTCTAGGCTCGAGATTATATTTCTAACTTTTATCCATGCTAGTGTGTGTATATATTCACTTCATTTAGCTGCTGTGTGTATTCAGTTTACCAGTGTTACTTTTATTTCTTAGTCTACCAGCTGACCTTGAGTTATTATAACAAACAGTGCTATCGTGAATAGGCTATTTGTCCCTTCGTGTACACAGGCAAGAGTTTTGGGTGTACTTATAGAGTGGGCAAATATCCAAAAGTAAAACTATTGGCTCTTAAGACAGGAGACAGATATGTTTTCAACTTCATTAGATAATACCAAGTTACCCTCCCAAAGGACTATATCTGTGTGCCCTTCCAGGAGTAGTTGAGGCATTTCTCTAGTGACTCCTAAATTCCTGCCAGTCTGTACATGAAGTGGTATCTCACTGTCTCCATGTCTTTATTACCATGGAGATTCAGAAATTTTCACTTGGGTATTATGGTAGTCAAACATGATTGCCAACTACACTGGATTGAGGAGTGTGTGAATAACACACACCTCTCGGTGTGTCTGTGAGGACTTTCCAGAGAGGGTTAACTAAAGGAGGGAGACCCACCCTGAATGTGGGCAGCACCATTCCATAAGCTGGGAGCTCAGATGGAGTAAAAGGGGGATAGGAGAAAGCCAACCAGCATGGGTATTCTCTCTCTGCTTTCTGGCCACCATGATGTAAACTTCTATATCTGTTATACCCTCCCCACCATTATGGGCTGAAATCCCTGAAACCATAAGCCAAAATAAATCTTTTCTCCGTATAAGTTTTTCCTATCAGGTATTTGTCACAGTGATAGAAAGCTAGCTAACACAGATATTCTCTTCTATCAATCATCAATTATCTATTTTAGATATTTATTATGTATTATATATAGTGATCCTTTGTTTATAAAGGGGCTTTGAAGTTTTTAAACATGTTTTAATTTTTATGTCAGTTTTATAATTCTTTTCCTTACTGATGCCTATTTTCCATCCATACTTTAAGAAAACTATCCCTGTTCTCCTATCTAAACAGTGTAGTCTCTTATTTTTCATATCTAACAC